AAATAGATCAGACATAACAATTTTAACATTTTAGCAGCCAAATATGCCCGCTAACCACTGACGGTTTAAGGGATAGCTCCATTCTATATATTAATTATGGATGTTAATTAAATATAAACGTTATACATTTATTGCTACATATGAGTGACAATCTGTGAAAACCTGTAAATCGATTTACAATCATTCACTATGCTGAACTTGACCCCTGAAAAATCTGATCTCACATGATCATACTTTTACATAGTATTATTAAATTTTAATAACACCATACATATCTACGTAAAAGTATTAGTACAAATATGTTACTAAAATTAATCGTAATAGATATTAATATAAAATATAAATATCTCCCGATCTCATAATCAAGTGACTATATTTGTATACTTTTAGATTTATTAGAATCTTCTCTTTGTGAAGATCATTTTGATAGTCAAATCATCTAAATTGGATCAGTGGATCAAAAGTTATGAATTTTTAAAATTTATGCCTTATTCAAAAAATAATATTACACAAAGAAATTAGTACTTTACTTAATATTATAATTCTTTTTTTTACATAATAACCTTATATGAAATTTTGCAGACTTTTTTGTTATTGTTACACTAAATTACTTGCATAGTAGCACAAAGCTACACTTAATTTTGATTAGTTAACTTTTAAAAAACTAAAATTTTTTGGTTTTTATTAATTTTTTAAAAAATAGAATAAATTTAAATTTTTTTAAAAAATATTGTATCAAAAAATTATCAAAAATTATTTTATAAATAAGTTATATAAATACTCAAATATTATATATAATTTTTTGATTACAAATTAATATATAAAAATTTGAGTTATTATATTTAATTTAACATATATTAGAATGGTGTATCACACTTAATGAAATTACAAATAGTTCAAATGTTTAAAAATATCCTTAGAGAAGTAAAAGAAGAAAAGGTAAAAACTACATACTATTGCGACACTACTGAAAAAGATTATTATGCACAAGCTTTAGAAGGAAAGCCTAAATGACTAATTCGAGAAAAATCAAAAGAAGTGGATCATATAACCCTGGAAGATCGATGCGAATTATAGATAGAAAAAGTAAACTGATTCTGAACTACAAATAAAACCTCACCTTCTAATTCATTCATTTCTCAAATTTCTGATCTGATACCTGAAACTATTGTAAGACCAAACCAACAAGCCTAGGAAGTGTATGTAGCCATGATGGTTGAAGAGTCAGAAGAAAAAAAGTATAATAATTTAGGTAAAAAGAAAACAGTTATACATTGTCAAAAATTAGCTAAAATGGGTTGTAATAGAAGAGCAGAAATGGACTATGTTGATAAACTAAATCGTCTTGATACTTGCGATACGATTAGAGCTGAAACGGATGATCATAATACATTTAGTAATCCTGCTTTGAGGATTGTATTGATGGAGAAACTGACCTCAAACCCTGCCTTCAAAAAGGAACTAACATTAAAAAGCATGAAAATAAAGGAATTTGAGTTAAAAAGGTCAAGGATAAAGAAATCAAAGTTGAAAAAGAACCCCTGATGATTTACTTAAAGCAGATAGATTGTGTTGACAAAATAAAAACCAGTGAGGGCTGCTGTTAAATCAGAATAGGAGTTGAATCAGACGAACCTATGGTATTTAAAGACTCCAAAGAATCTGCTATTGTAGACTATGCCAATAAAAGAACTGAACCAGAACTCTGCTTTCAGAATGGAATTGGAGTTGATAAAGAAGATCCCAAAGCATTGAAATGGTATCTAAACAAAGCTGGAGATGATAATCTTGGACCTTGTTGTCAAAACGAAATCGGCATTGAAAAGGACGAAGATAAAGCATTCAAATAGAATATGAAACCTGCTAAAAGTAGAAATCTTTGTGAAAGGGTTCATAAAAAATTTGGAAACTTAGAAGCTTACAACACTGACATGAGTGAAGAAAAAACCTCACCTCAACAAACAGATGAAAATCTGATTGCCCATATAAAGGAAGGGAAATTCAAAGGCTATCCCTTAGAGTTATAGAATATACGAAGTTGAGCAAACAACAACGTCAAAAGTTATGGTATGAGGGAACACTAAGGCAATATAATGAAGTGTTTGATATTTATTTGCATCCAACCATTGGAGAAAACTATGCTGCAAACAGATTAGATTTTCAAAAACCTATTTGGTCCAGTTTCATGATCTTAATTTGGTAGCAAGCATTCCTAATAACTTATGTAGTTTGCAACAATAGATCATCAAAGGGTCACAGCAAGAAATCATTCAATGGGAACTTGTAAAAAGATTCGGCATCAATCCGGAGACAGAAGAAAAGATCATTAGTGCCAAATATGAAGAGATTTTCTAGCCTATAATTTATAAAACCATTAAAAAAAAAAAAAAAAAATTTATAATTAGGCCACACAAATTTAATATATTGGTTTTCATAACATGAAACTTTTAAACAGACCCGGCCGGCCGGCTTTTT